AGATACTATCTTTTCCAATATCGAAGAACCTTCAACATCAGTGAAAAAACAAGACCAACAGTCACGACACAGTTGTTGAAGAAACTTCAATGTGAAAGACAAGAAGATAAACAGTCCCATTACGCAATAATCACCATATACATAAAATGTTACAATCCACAACATACTTACTTCATGACAGAAAATAACCCCATCATAAATATATTATTACCTCAATGATTCATAATAAGCAGAAAAGCACCACTACTAAAGAGAAAGATTAACAAAATTAGTTAAATTAAATCCTACTCGTTTCCCTATACCTTTAAGAGGTGAGCTACCAATATAAAACTCTTCATATTAGAAAGAAGCACCTTGACCAACATAAGAATAATACATTAAAATGTAATCTCAACATATGTAATTAAATTTAAGTATATAAAATATGAATAATATATGTTTAGGATCACTAATCAACCTTCTAAAACAAACAAAAGTGCAAAGCAGCGTTGCAACATTGGATCTGCTTTTTTTAGATCAAAATGTCATTTGATATAATGGGGAAATCTTGATATCTCGCCCAAAAATTCCAAACACGGTATATTATTGTCATTTGATATAATGGGGAAATCTTGATATCTCGCCCAAAAATTCCAAACACGGTATATTATTTTGTCACAAACTATATAAAAAGATATATTGGTCCACATATCAGCTAATATATCGGTCATATCGGGGATTTATCACTCAAAATAGCCAAAAAGTGGTAAAGGATATTTAAAGACCATATCGGTTGAGATAAGCCCTGTAAAAGGATATATCGGGGGATATATCGAGTCATGTTGGGGATATTTAAAACAATGATGCTAGGGTGGTGCTCATTGAGCTGGCAATAATTTTTCCAATGCAACAATCGTAGGTGATAACTCGTGCAATGAATTATCTTTAAAAAGGCATCAAACAGAAACATATCAATTCTATACACCATAATGGCATCATAAAATGAGTGTATTCAGCAACAAATACAGAATACACTGCATTGACTAAAATGGATTGCTAAGAACAAAGCAAAAGTGAGGTTATGAATACATCATCCTGACAAGCTCACTTTCACGCACACACACAAAAGGCTTTTAAGATTTTTAGCAAGGGCTCAACCTACAACCTGCTTATATCATTGTAGATACTGGATACTCCAAAACTTACTGCTCAAATTATCAAAATAGCCCAGAGTAGAAAATTGAAATTTACCTAGTACAATAAATCTACTTCTAAGGCATGTACAAACTAAATATTGGAAAAATTCACATATATAGTACATCTTTAGCAAGCTCCCGAATGACAGACTAGTTAGGAGTACCACAGATAAAGAACCGCTGCTCAGAACACATGTATCTTACAGAACGAAAAGAAAGTTCGAATGTTTTTAAATTCACAAAAACACCATAAACAGAAACAATCAACAAATACAATAACTTTGACAGCAAGGAAACTAAATTCTTTGAACTTTCAGTTATCATCTAAAAAATATCCACACCATGTACTCATAAGACAAGGATGTTATCCCTCATTAAATAACTTGACCAGATTCAACTGAAATTGCTCTATCTACCCAAAAAGAAATTAAAGAGAGTAAGACTTGGGAAAAACAATAGCAAGATTTCTAACTTAATAAATTTCAAATGCATGAGAATTCAGAAAAAGTTTAGGATTTAAAAATAATAACTCCAAAACTACGAAAATAAAGTTTGTTTAAAGCATATCTTGTGCAAGCATACTCAAAAAATAGCGCTTCAATTGTTCCTCTTACCTCTATGACTGCTTTGATATTGATCCTGAGGATGTAGAGAGGTTGGGTTTAAGTGGTTTCGATGGTACTAAGCTCCCTAGTCCTCCAGAGCACAAGAAGGTGAGGCAAATTTTGAGAAGATCTGCCACTAAATCCAAGAAGAACAAAAGGCAGCCTGTATCCTGATAGCCCTCTAGGTGTCATTCCGAGAGATAGAACCTACCCTTCCCATTATTGAGAGTGCTTTGATGGACAGTATGTTTGCTACAAGCCTTTATGATGGAATTTTGTATGTTAGGCCTTATAGTTTTATTTTTTCCCATTTATTCATTACAAGCACTTGGAATGCGCATATCCCCTACCCCTAATGTTCCTTGGACAGATAAAAGAGGTGACCATATTTGGGATTATGATTATGAACCAAAACAATAAGATACTGCCCTTTGCAATATCAAAGAAACTCCAACATCAGTGAGAAAACAAGAGCAACAGTCACGGCAAAGTTGCTGAAGAACTTCAATGTCAAAGACAACAAGATACACAGTCCAATTACGCAATCATCATTATATACATGAAATGTTACAATCCATAACATACTTACTTCATGACAGAAAATAGTCCCATCATAAATATATTATTACCTCAATGGTTCATACTAAGTAGAAAAGCACCACTGCTTTGATGGGCAGTATGTTTTCTACAAGACGTCATGATGGAATTTTGTATGTTAGGCCTTATAGTTTTATTTTTTCCATTTATTCAGTACGAGCACTTGGAATGCGCATATCCCCTACCCCTAATGTTTATTGGACAGATAGAAGAGGTGACCATATTTGGGATTCTGATTATGGACCAAAACAATAAGATACTATCTTTTCCAATATCGAAGAACCTTCAACATCAGTGAAAAAACAAGACCAACAGTCACGACACAGTTGTTGAAGAAACTTCAATGTGAAAGACAAGAAGATAAACAGTCCCATTACGCAATAATCACCATATACATAAAATGTTACAATCCACAACATACTTACTTCATGACAGAAAATAACCCCATCATAAATATATTATTACCTCAATGATTCATAATAAGCAGAAAAGCACCACTACTAAAGAGAAAGATTAACAAAATTAGTTAAATTAAATCCTACTCGTTTCCCTATACCTTTAAGAGGTGAGCTACCAATATAAAACTCTTCATATTAGAAAGAAGCACCTTGACCAACATAAGACAATTAGACTAATAATGAGAACTAGAAAAGCATATGCTGCATAGAACAGTCGTGAATTACAATATGTTAGAGAATTGCTTCTTGAAAAATCCTCTGCTCCACATATCACTTGTTTCTCAACTTTATGTGTAGATCATTTCACCACCCACACATTACCAAGCACAAGAAAGATCACCTATGAAAAACTAACGCTCAATGAATAAATATAGATCTACGAGGCACATGTAAAGAAGACTATTGAAAAGTCCGCACTTATCATAGAAAGAGAGCCATCCGTCCCAGTAATTAGATCATATCCTGCGCTAGCCGCTAGTATAGTATACATTATCAATTAACTACTATTCTAATACATAACCAACTCACAATCAAGTGCTTACAGTGAGCTTGTTTGTTTCTGCTTGACTTCTAATACCCATCAAAAGTTATCTAATGATTTGGTTTGGCACTATAATTATAAGAATTTTTAATATTGTTATAACAATGGTTATTGCTCCAAACGTTTTTCCGTACTTGATAATACTTTTCAATGTTAAAAGCGTACAAATCATGAGAACGCAACAAAATAAGCCCTTAAGCCATGTCAAAACAAACAGAATGTTAGGATCCAAGCAACTTGGAAACCCATCCTTAAAAGCTAGTTGTTAAAGGGGAAGAACCAAGTCACTTGAATATTCCATCAAGCTTCCCATTTTACTCGATGTGGGACTTAGGCATCTCATACTACCCAAGTCCCTAACATAGCACCGCCCCTGAGAGCTGACGTCCCGGCGGCTACACTCTATGATGCTTCACTCGGCTCTTCTTTACTCGGCCTTTCCGGTCAGGCCCTACACCGGTCAGCCCCTCCACAGGTAGCCCTTTCCGTGACGCCGACAACCAGCTCTGATACCAATTGTTAGGATCCAAGCAACTTGGGAACCCACCCTTAAAAGCTAGCTGTTATAAAAGCTAGCTGTTAAGGGGGAAGAATCAAGTCACTTGATCAAGCTTCCCATTTTACTCGATGTGGGACAACTTTATGTGTAGATCATTTCACCACCCACACATTACCAAGCACAAGAAAGATCACCTATGAAAAACTAACGCTCAATGAATAAATATAGATCTACGAGGCACATGTAAAGAAGACTATTGAAAAGTCCGCACTTATCATAGAAAGAGAGCCATCCGTCCCAGTAATTAGATCATATCCTGCGCTAGCCGCTAGTATAGTATACATTATCAATTAACTACTATTCTAATACATAACCAACTCACAATCAAGTGCTTACAGTGAGCTTGTTTGTTTCTGCTTGACTTCTAATACCCATCAAAAGTTATCTAATGATTTGGTTTGGCACTATAATTATAAGAATTTTTAATATTGTTATAACAATGGTTATTGCTCCAAACGTTTTTCCGTACTTGATAATACTTTTCAATGTTAAAAGCGTACAAATCATGAGAACGCAACAAAATAAGCCCTTAAGCCATGTCAAAACAAACAGAATGTTAGGATCCAAGCAACTTGGAAACCCATCCTTAAAAGCTAGTTGTTAAAGGGGAAGAACCAAGTCACTTGAATATTCCATCAAGCTTCCCATTTTACTCGATGTGGGACTTAGGCATCTCATACTACCCAAGTCCCTAACATAGCACCGCCCCTGAGAGCTGACGTCCCGGCGGCTACACTCTATGATGCTTCACTCGGCTCTTCTTTACTCGGCCTTTCCGGTCAGGCCCTACACCGGTCAGCCCCTCCACAGGTAGCCCTTTCCGTGACGCCGACAACCAGCTCTGATACCAATTGTTAGGATCCAAGCAACTTGGGAACCCACCCTTAAAAGCTAGCTGTTATAAAAGCTAGCTGTTAAGGGGGAAGAATCAAGTCACTTGATCAAGCTTCCCATTTTACTCGATGTGGGACTTAGGCATCCCATACTACCCAAGTCCCTAACAGCAAACCACTACATTATCACCTGCTTCAAGCAATTCAAATGAAGAGGGGATTAATAATTTACCAGTAACAAGAAGCAACCCAGATGGCAACTGCTTCAAAAACACAACCCTTTTCCCCATGAACCTTCCCGCAAGCAAAATCAGCACGGCCCCCGGAGTAATACTAGCCCTAAAAACCACAAAAAACTCGAAATTTTCAACACAGATATAAGCAAAAACAAAACCCTAAGACCAAAACCTAAAAAATCTAACAAAATCAAGATCAAAGACCTGAGCTTGGTGGGCTTGGGCTTGCGGCGGTTGGGAATGGGAGCCTTAACATCGTCGGCGGGGTAAAACTTGGGGGGCTTCTCTGCGGCCTTAGCGGGTGCGGGTTTCGGGTCGTGTTTGGGAAAAGATCCGCCATTTTTTGCCTTGATAGCCCAGAGTCCTCTCTTGTGGTACATTTTGGAGCGGGAGAATTTGCCGATTCCCCTGATGATGTTTGGGTTGCGGGATGAAACCCTAGGGGTCTTGCGAGGGGCCATCGATGATGAAACCCTAGAAACCTACTGAGTTTGATAAATGGGAGGCGACGACGGGGGAGAGGAGGACAGGAGACGAGATGGGGTACTCTTTTTTTCATTTTTATTTATTTTATTTTATAGTAAGTGGAGGCGGAAACCCTACAGGAGGATGGGGTCGGGTTGTGATTAATGGGCTGAGTCTGGGATGGTTAATGGGCTGGGCTTTTGGAATTTAATTAAACAAATACTACATATAATTAATATCTTGGTCGGTGGACAAGAGAACCGGTCAAGTATTTGGTTCCGATAGCATGATTTCCGGTCAGAACAAGCCCAATCCATGACAGCATTCCGTGTATTCATAGAGAACAAACACTCAAAAAAAGAGATGTCGATGACTTTCCTCAAAACAAGAATTTGAAGAAGTAGCCTATCTTGTGTAAGAAATTTAGACTGAAAGGCCAGCCATAAAATAAAAGCATGCTTAGGAAGAGAATGTGAATTCCAAATAGTGTCACCGCATTGAACAATAGTAGAGTTAGCAGTGAGCTTTGTGTATAAAGCAGAGAGCTGAATCATGGCTATCAAAGCATCAGTCCCTCCAACACAACTCACAACAAGATCTCTACATTTTATTAGTTGCTTCCACATCCCAAGAGTCACCCTTCTTAGAGTGAACTTCCCAAATAATAGTGCCTGTCAAGTAGATTCCATGGATCCATTTGATCCATAATAAATCCTTTTCAATATGTATGAACCATAGAAGTTCAATGGCAGCCATCACATTCCATTAGCTAGCCGAATAAACCCCTAATCCTCCATATTTCTTCTGTTGACACGCATTGTTCTAGGCAATAAGTGGAACTTTAGAAACTTGATTGGTTCTCCCCCATAAGAAACCCCAACATAGCTCATCAATTTTATTCATGACTGATATGCACATAATAAACATGCACAAAAGTTGCAAGAAAATAATTATCAAGTATAGTATGGGAAGATGTCGAACCCACAAGGAGGATGTGTGCTTAGAAATTTCTAAAATTGGTCCTAAAAGTGTGTGGACAAAAATGAGTGAAATAAAATGTGTAGAGAGGTAGAAAGAGTGATTTGTCACAAAGATAAAAAGTGAAAATAAGAGGATAGAAGGAGGGAATAAACAAAAAGGCACAAAAAAGAAACTACAAGAAAATAAAAAGAGAAATGAAAATAAGAATAGAAAAAGAGGAGGAAGAACAAAAAAATCAACAAAGGAAAAGCAAGAAATGGGAAATTTAAAAAAAGGGAAAATCAAGAGGAGGATGAAAAATCAAAATCAAGAGAAATTGAGGTAAAAACAAATAGAGAAACATAGGGTTATAGAATTGAATCTGCTAGTTAAACTTGATTAGGATTTATGAACTACTATCTATTTATCATATTTTATTTTATATTTACTAAGTATAGATATTAAAGCACTTACAAAAAGCATAATCTATCAAATTATCATCCAAGTAAAATTTTTATTCATGAAAAGAACAAACAACTAGATAGTAATTCTAGAATTCATTAGCATAACCTATCATATCACTCAAGATAAGCATAGATTATTAAATTCTTCTTCTAGCAATTAGTTTTCTAGTTGATTATCCTAAGCATGATAATTTTAAGCATAAATAAAGCAATCTGTAAACCATAAAAGAAATTAAACTAATTTTCACATAATCCTTGATCTCCTAAAAAAATTAGTTACACATATTAAGAACAAAAAAAAACAATGCATGAAAGAAAGACAAGAAAATAAAAAATAAGCAAGAAAAAGAACAATAAAAACAATAAAAAGATCAAGAATATGTAAATCTATTCAATAAAGTATAAAATAAATCTATACTACAAGCATGAAATAAATCTAATTTACCAAATATAATAACAAGAAAATAAAATCATAAATTAGCAATTCTAAAACAAGAAAAATAAAAAGAGAAAATAAAAATTTACATTCCAAGGGGTGGCCCCTTATGAAGAAAAGCTTCATCTTCACTTCATCATCATCAAAATAGAATAATGAAAATAAAAGAAGAGGAAATAATTTTTTTTTATTTATTATGAATACAAGTTTATAATTTTAGAAATTCTTCTTAATTAAGAGTAACTATCCTCTCCCAATAGAGTTTTTATAAAAAAATTCACACTTAAACCCCTTACTCTCTACCCCTATTTACTACTATAATCAATAAGAGCTATTGTATTAGCCTTGATGCCCTATTTATATCCTACTGTAATCAATAAGAGCAATTAGATTAGCATTAGGCTCCAAGATATAAATCTCAGTCATACACTATTTTTGTTACAAACTGATCGGTTAGCCAATCGGTTGGCAACCGATTAGCCGAGTAATCATCATCTCCTAATATAATTTTTAAAAAACATTCACGCTCAAACCCCTCACCCTCTACTCCTATTTATATAGCCTACTGTAATCAATGAGAGGACATTAGATTATCATTGGGCTCTAAGAAATAAATCTCAGTCATACATTGTTTCTGCTACAAACTAATCTGTTGGCCAATTGGTTAGCTAATCGGTTGGCCAATCGATTAGCCAATCGGCTATTCGGTTGCTTAACCGATTGGTTTCTAACATATTTGATTCCTTTTATTGACTTGTTGACCCAATTTTTTCTTTTTGACTTTTGTGGCCTTCTCTTGGCTTGATCTTAGGCTTTATTAAATGATAGAAAAATGAGAAAAATTGGTTCTTTTAGGTTTTTATTCATTAATTTTTATTTCATGCAAATTAAGATTAAAAAATTATTATTAGTCTATATATTTTATTTGGTCTATATGCTTTTTCAAATAAAATATATATTAAGGGTAAAAAAGTGTGATAAAATGTGATGATCAGCAACCATCATACCTAAAATTTTGCTAGTCCTCTAACAAAAAAGAAAATAAAAAGGAAAGAAAGAAAATTTTAACTCACTTTTGTAGGATTGTAGTTGTATTTAGCACATGTAATAAAGCTTTTAAATCCCTAGGTTACTCTAGTGGACAAATTATAGTATCGTGAGGGTTTGCAATAAAAATACCTATAAAACTCAGTTAACTTGCTAATTTGAAGAAGTCAATGTCTAATTAATTAATTTGATATCTTTAAACAATCTAGTTAGAGTTAGATTAACTATCTAAGAATTAGAATATTTAAAATTTATCAAGTGGATCAATTATTAATTAACTCTATCAAGTTGTTTAGTGACAATTATTTTTAAAAAAATAAGGAAGGAAAAATGAAAGCAAGCAAAAAGCAAAAACAAAAGAAAGCTTAAAAAACTAATCCCTCCCCGACACCTAGACTTTGCATTGTCCTCAAGGAAAATACTAACAACAACATTCAAATGCATAAACATCAAAATATATAATATTAGTACATGTCAAAATAAAAGTCAAGTATGGGTGCTATGAAATAAAAACATCCCTCACTGCTCATCATCACCAGACTAATCATGCTCTCCCTGATCATCACCCTCATCATCCTGATCATCTATCCCTGTGACATCTATGTCCTCATCGTCCATCTCTGTACAAGTATTGCTGATATTCTCCTTGTCCTCAAGGTCGTGTCGTAGGCTGATAATGTGGTGGTGATGGTAGTGGATCTTGCTGTGATGGAGGCGGAGGTAGAGGATAATAAGGTGGTTGGGTACTCATATACGGATTTCATCTCATGAATGTCTGAGGCTATATAATGCTGATATTGATGAAACTAGTCGAGCTGAGTTGTGAGGTGAGCCTGATTAGCTGTATACTGACTCTGAAATTGCTAAAACCCTATTTGAAATTGGTGAAAACCCATCTCAAGAGTATAGAGATGATGACCAAGCATCTGGGGTGTCCACTCAATCAGTGCATCAATGGGTGGCGAGGGGGTGTAGGTAGGGTTTGCTGAGCTGGTGCTAGATTATGTGAAGAAGTAAAAGTGGAAGCTGTGAGCCCCTTGCCTCGGCTAGAACTCTTTCTTAAGCATGCATGAATGCAAGATCCCACCCCTAGGTATTGTTCTAAACAAATACTCAGCCTTCTGATTGTAATCATTAGAGGCTATACTCTAAGCTAAACCTTGGAAGAAATCAGGGCAATATTTTAGGTGTTTGGGGAGTCCTAAGATCTTTTGGATGAGCTTGAGTATGACTAATATAGTTATCCTATGAATAGCGACAGAAGTTGTGTCCTCGATTGATCAGTCATAAAATTCTCTAAATATTATAGAGTTTGCCATTTTTGGTTTCCTAGTCATCATTGAACTTATCCCAACTTCTGTAAATACTTCAGCAATTAGTTTGTATTCAAATAGCTTATTAGTATTGAATCCTCTTTCAAAGTGGATAGGTAAATTGTCGAAAGTGAGAGAGGATTGTATAATTTGTTGTCATTTTCCTAAAGTCATTGTCTAATTTACAAGAAAATGACTTAATTATGGTAATTAGAGTTTAATTCTACAAGAAATTTAGAGTTTCGGGGGTTAAAATGTAAAATAACAATTTCTATCCTGAACCTACTAATCAATTGACCAATCAATTGATCAATCGATTAGTAATCACTTGGTGACTTAATTGATCAATTTTCACTAAAGTTTTCCAATCAAAATAACATCTCAATTACCCCAGAATTCGTTCAATTATCATTCTCAACAACTACATACACAATTTTACATCGTAAATCAAAGTAAATTCACAAAAATTTGCCAAGTTAGGGTCCGAGTGTTTATACCTTGATTGCGAGTGATTGAATTGCAGGATTATTGCAATTGGTTGGAGATTTTTTCCAATCACCCCCTTCTTTAATTTGGAGAAGAGATTTGGGAGGATTTTGAGAGATTGAGAGAGTTTTGAGAAAAAGAGATCAGGGGTTTTCTTTTCTTTTTTTCCTTTCTTTTGTCATGGGTTGGTCTTTAGTGCAAAGAGAAATTTTACTTCATGGGCTAGATTCATGGGCTAGACTACAGCCTAAAGAGAAATTCTTCTCTTTTGTTTTTTTGTGGGCCTTAACCATATTGGGTATCTGGGAAGAAAAACAAAAAGGGAAAAAAAATTTGTACATTGGATAAACAAAATGAGGAATTTTATTTTCTTTTTTTTAAATAG